ATACATATCAGTGTGTTTCATAATCAGATCAAAGATGGCTGAATAACGACTGTTTTTATTTTGGCCATATTACTATGACACGAAACACGTGTTTTGATGTAAATAAACAATCTGTTGTATATGCCACTTGGAACTCAAGTTTCAAGGACATGCTCGCGACAACCCCTCCGCTTTAATATGACGAGCACAAAGAGAACTTAACGGGGACTGTGTCATTTTCAATGACTTGTTATACATTGATCCCTAATGTCAAACTGAATTCTGTCAGATTGAACACTAGCCAGCTGCTATGCATGACATTTTTAAATTCAGAGAAATATGACTGTTTATTTCCATCTGTTTCATCAATTGTTTGAAATCTTTAGAAAACATAGTTAGAGAAGATAAACAATAATTCTATCATTGTACTCACTTCTTTTTCATTCAAGGGTGCTGGTCTTGGTAGTATGGTTGGTTGGATGACTTACGGAAATAAGAAATTCCATGGACTAGATAAAGATATGAGAGCTATTATTCCATCACTACATGAAGCTATGCATGATTTATTGCCAATGATAGATGCTGACACAACTGCTTTCAACCAATATATGGTATGTATGCAACTCAACAAACTTATATCAGCTACCCTAGATAATAGATATGGTGGAGAAAAAAAAAAACTTTATTCAATTTACTTTCAGTTTAACATGAAATCAATTTAATAATCAACGTCACCATGTTAATTACAAGATTTGTGTGCTTAAAAGTTGAACCATCAACCTAAGACTTAAAAGTTGTGTTCTCAACTATTTAGTAGTTGATGTGTTGTCATTTGCTCACAATCTCATAAAAAAGAATAATGATTATATTAGCGTGTACAAGTATTTCAGAAAACACATGTCCTAAGTATGACATTACAGTTGTCAGTCTGTGTGTTGATATTATTTCTCACAGGTTGCCTGCAAATTACCCAAAGTAACAGAAGAAGATAAGAAAATGCAAGTATATTTTTAATTAATTATTACCTGCATGTATTTATATCATCACCTTTTACTGTTTAATGCTGATGCAAATTAACATTTCCCATTAAAAATAGCAATACATACAGCTTTACAGAAGCCTATATTATTTCCGAGACTAAACATGGAGCATATGGTTTCAATGGCACCTCATGAAGTCTTTTGATTAAATTGCGTATTTTATATGAAGTTGCTTTTATGTTTATTTGTGCTCTAGTCGTGAACAATGTATGCAGGGAGCAATGAAAACTGCTGTTGCCGTGCCAATGCATGTTGCGGTTACAATAAACAAATGTTGGCCATCCATGAAAGAACTTGCAAATAAAGGAAACATACAATGTAAATCAGATATACAGGTATGTATGGAAGTGGAAATTGTTATGCCCTCTAGTGGTGTAAACTAGTAAAAGGAAGGCACTTCATGTGCACAGTATTGATATTGGTTTGATAACAATTTTTCTGATACATTGCTCTAATTCCATTTGTAATGACAAAACTTACACTCAACTGTGGGTATAACAAATATGAAATTAAGGTGTTTTGTGACAGGAATCTGTTGAGACTAGCAGGTAAATTTGGGAAACGAGAAGAAAAAGCATTCCAATAACATTTGGGAGGGATAACGTTAACCTGTGTCCTTGTTTTGTTGTCAGGTCGGTGCTCGTTCTTTAGAGACTGCCTTATGGGGTGCATATTATAATGTTATGATTAATCTACCACAGTTAACTGATGAAGAATTCAAGAACAAGGTAAGATAACAAATCAGTTTGAAATTGTAATCAAGAACAAGGTAAGATAACAAATCAGTTTGAAATTGTAATCAAGAACAAGGTAAGGTTACAAATCAGTTTGAAATTGTAATCAAGAACAAGGTAAGGTTACAAATCAGTTTGAAATTGTAATCAAGAACAAGGTAAGGTTACAAATCAGTTTGAAATTGTAATCAAGAACAAGGTAAGGTTACAAATCAGTTTGAAATTGTAATCAAGAACATGGTAAGGTTACAAACCAGTTTGTGATTGTCATCAAGGTAAGACATCGTTCCATCAAACTAAACTGATGACATCAGGTACTCTAGTTATTGTTACATACTGTCAGCTGATTTGATTGGGAAGATGTTTTTAACGTTGTTTAGTGCAAGTGACAATTTGATATACTGGTGTTATAGCTAGGCATTTAGTGAAGTGGCTCAGGGAGAGTGGAATACCACATAGATTCTAGGCATTTAGTGAAGTGGCTCAGAGAGAGTGGAATACCACATAGATTCTAGGCATTTAGTGAAGTGGCTCAGAGAGAGTGGAATACCACATATATTCTAGGCATTTAGTGAAGTGGCTCAGAGAGAGTGGAATACCACATGGACTCTTGGCATTTAGTGAAGTAGCTCAGAGAGAGTGGAATACCACATATATTCTAGGCATTTAGTGAAGTGGCTCAGAGAGAGTGGAATACCACATGGACTCTTGGC